CTAACTGGATGACACACATGGATGTCTAAAAATATTGCATGTAACAACCACCTTCGAATAAGGAGGATGTTTCTGCTGAAAAGAAATAGTATAAATATCCTGCATATGTTTGCTTTTTTTTTCCTAAGTAAACATCCAGGTTCAGGATATCACAGGGAATTGGTTTAAGTAGCCAAGAAATAGGCTTTTTGTTCTCTGCCTTGTTTTTTATTTTTTAAAAGGACTGATATTTTGGAAAATGCCTTCATGACTTTAGGTGTAGAATTTGTCTTATTGGTGTCACAAGTGAGATGGAGGAAAAATTGGGCTTTTTTTCCAGCTATATGGAACTTTTCTGAGCATTTTAACCTGCTGCATGAAATTGCAGTCTCACCCTGTGCTTTAATTTCCACACACATTCTGAGAACTGTGCATTTCTTCTCCTTCGCTATCTTCCTTTTTCATTGAAGATCTGGGTAAATCACTTCTTGCTGAAAGCCTGCTGTCTGTAAGTTAGGAGGGCTGTAGAAATGCAGTGATACCAAAATATTACATTGCATGGTGTTTGTCCTCTTTTTCATTCCTCTCCATGTTTGAGGTTTTATTGCTCACTTGTGCATGGAACATACAAGTGACTCTGGGATGCTGGATTCTTATTTTTTTCTCAGTTTCTCAGTATGGTTTTGCTAAAAATGAGGCTGCACATTATGTTGCTCCCCTAATTCCTTATTGGGAATGAGATGCGGGGATACTTTATGAATTTTATGCTGCTACTTCTTTTACTGGGTAATAGCTTCAGTGTTAGAGGCTTTGGAAAATAACTGCTAAAAAGACCAATTTGGGGGTATGTTGCAAAAACATAACAAAACTGTTCATTTGTACAGACAATGCAAAATCAATGAGAATAGGCTAAAAACATAGATGTGTGCATATATATATCTCAAGACTGCTCATGCTGTCTCTTCACTGAGCCAGACAGCTGTGCTCATCTCCTGATGGATTGGTCCAGCTACATAGAAAATCAATTATATTGTTCAGATTAGCAAGGCGTACTGAATTAAAGATGAAAACGTATCTACAAGGGGCTCTGGGGCGTTGAGGCTCTGAGGAGGAGCCCAGTGCCCTGAGAGCTGGGGAGTCAGATGTGGGTTCCTTCCTGGAGCCCAAGGAAACACCTTGGGAGCGGATGTGCTGTGGGGAAATAAATCACACCCGTGTCTTTGGGGGAGTTAGAAATGAGTCCTTTGCTGCTTCTGCTCCGGGAGCTCAGGGGCTCTGGTTGCTGAGCTGGAAGCACTCATCCATGGCCAAATATATCTCCTGTGATGCTGTGGTGGTGGAGTCCTCTTTTTGAAGCTCCCCAGCTTTTCTTCTTCAGGCAAGAGGAGAGGACCAGACTGTTGATACCTGTGTTGGAGCATGTGGCATTGCTGCACTGCAGTCATGCACACCTCTGTGTCACTGCGCTGGGACAATATGGTGCTGGTGGAAGGTGATTGATACACCAAATTTTGAGGTGATCTTGTGGCTGCGATAGCCTCTGAAGCTTTTGGTTCTGCCCCCTGTACGAACGAGGCTTGGAAAATGTGAGTACTGTCTTGTGTGTAGGAGTCTTGTCTGCACAAGGGGGCAGCTCCATGCGAGAAGAGAGTTGTCTCCTGGAGATGACCTCTCTGATGGGTGACATTCCTGATGCAGGATGGGCTTGTGTTGCTCTGTGATAGTAATTGGGAGTGATTTGCTTCTGCTTGTGTTTGTAAGCATGGAGTAAGCCAAGTGAAGTGCTCTCTGCCCCATCAGGAATGGGGTGGGGATACTTGGAGTGAGGTATTCAACAGCTGCAGAAACCAGGGTGCTAGTTGTTTAAACCTTGGGTCTGTGAGAGGAGGATAAGAGCTGATGTTTGGACTGTCCTAGTTAACACTGCTTTGTTTAGGGACTGGAGCCTGTGAATGCAACGCTGGTGGTCACCCTGGTGGATTTGTGTTCCTTGGCCAGGCTGTGGTGCCACACAGTGAGTATCCATGTTGTGCCCCTCAGCCTGGATGGAGAAGGCATCTTGGCAGGGATGTAGCCCTCAGGTGTGCATGCATGGACTGGGGGGTAAATGAGGGGTAAAAACAGCAAATAAAGGGCTCCAGAGACCTCCCCCTTCCTTGAGCTATAGTCAGCAGCTTATAGCCCTGGACATGGCCCTTCATGGCCCTGGACAATGCTGTCATGTCCCACCATGCAACAGAGCATTCCTGGGGTGACACGAGCCCGTCACCACATGGAGATATGTGTAGGAGCAGACAGGTTTGTCCCAGGAATGGCATTTCACTGTGCTTTATCACCAAACAGCCTGGCTTCTTCTGCAACTTCTTGATTGAGCTTTCCAGTACTCTGGGAAGCAGCTGTATGATTTCTTCTCAGATGAGATTCCTGGAGACTCGGATACTAAATGTTATCTGTATCTATATCTGTAAATCAGACTTTTAAGCTGTGTCCTTGTGTTTTCTCATCAATAAAATCAGGGATAATTATATCTTGCCTATCTTCAGGGGTGTCAGGAGGTTTAATTACTTCTAAGGTGCTTTGCAATTACCTTGGATAGCTGAATAGAAGCACAGATTATGGTTGGTATTTCTTTTATGTTTTAATCTTCCCAGCAACCTTCCTTTCTCCTCAGCACAAGGCTTTGTGGATGTGTTTGCTATAATAGAAACCTTTTTTACTTAACAATAGACAACGGAGGCAATTAAAACAGTCAGAAGTGATTAATGTGATTTCACTGGGTGAAAGCTAAAGCAGCTAGCAATTAAATAATGGCAACCCTTGTGCTATCTCAGAGCAACAGATGGGGAATGATTTAAAAACACTATTGGATCAGACACTTCGCAACAGGGGCAGATTGGTAACAGTATGTCAGAGCCAGAAATATGCACCACCTTGAAGGGTGCGCTGATGACATGATTAATTGATGGTAACGTGCGACTTATTTATGATGGTGTGATGGCAGACCTGCAGCTCTGGGGAACAAATGGACCTGTGATCAGATCGTAATGGATTTAAGGGCTGCAGGCAGCATGTTTCGTGAGTGGATAAATGGCAGGGAAGGTGCTGGAAGCTGGAATTGGGATGCTGCAGCTTTGCTCCCAAAACTTGAGGGATAAAAAGCTGGAAGGTGGTACCCTGCTGGGAGCAAGGGGCCTGGGGGTGCTGCAGCTTTGGGCTGATGCTTCTTGGAGGTGCAGCACCGTGGGATGGGGCTGTGGGGACAACGCTGCCATCTCCCCAATGGTGCAGTCTCTGTTCTCTACCCCTGCACACACAAGTCTCTCTTCATCTAGCACTTCTCTACAAATCCATGTTCACAGCAGTAGGAGAAATTAAGAGGAGGGGGTTTCTTCCAGCTGGACTCACTCTGCAAATGGTCCTTTTACCAGTAGTGCTGTTTTGATGAGTGATGTGATGGTACATGTTAGGTTAATGCCGTAAGTAGCAGCACTGGTGCCACAGATGCCATAACCGTGTCTTCCCAGATGCTAGACAGAGTTGTGCCTGCAGATGCTCATCTCTGACCTGTTAGCAGAGCTCCTCAGGAGGGGACTCCCTCCTGGATTTGGGTCAAAATGAGCTCAATTAGTTGAAACAATAAAGCTTTGTTGGTTTAGTTTCTTGCGGCTGACTGGGGACAGAAGAGGCTGTGTCTCGGCAGCCCTTGCTGTGCAAACAGCCCTGTGTTGAAATGGGGGCAGCCCCGGGGGGAGAGGGGAGATCTCCTTTCAGTTATACTGCAATTGGGTATAAATTGTATTTATTTTTAAGTCTTTACAAGGTTTGTATGTGTGGCATCCCAGTGCAGGAGGTGATGAGGGGGTGCTGGTGGCAGTAGAGCTCAGCCCTGTCCTTGTCCCCATCCCTGCAGAGCCAGAGGGATGTGAAAGGATAAAAACACAGTGTGTTGCTGTTTAATCCCTATGGGACCCCCTATCTAAGCAAACCACCCTCGGCCTCTGCTCACAGATCAGAATTTATAGTCATTGAGAAGCTTGTGCTGTCAGGAAAATGAATTACTCTGAAGCTGGGAGAATAAATATAAAAGCCAGGTTTCCTTCACCGGCTTTTGCCTGGGGAGTGCTGTGAAGCCGGTCCTCACTAAAGCCAGGAAGAAGTCCAGAATTAGAGCAAATTTTAAATAATGTAAAATCTTTCATGGAAGTGCATTAGATTTCAAAGGGCAGATATTAAAAGGGCCTAATGTGCAGCTATTTCTGAATCGCTGTCCTCTTAAAGAGAGGAAGATGTGTTGTTTGTGAGAGATAAAAGCGACATGAAATAAGTGGTCCAGATATAATGTCAGAGGTTGCAAAGCTCATCCTGCTCTTAATCATTCACTTCGAGCAGCTCTCTTGGTGTGTGCAACCACCTAAATGCAAGTCCTGTGGAGGCAATGATTTCTAATGCTTATGAAAAGTTATCCAAGGGAGAGCATTGATGTGCCAGTAGAGACTCCAGCTAGACTACGGGCCAGGTCTTCTGTCAACAGACTGAATCTAGGCTGACCCATCTGCAGGGAGGGTTGGGTAGATGGGGGTTTCATGGGTCCCTGGTCATCTCTGCTCCTCATGGGAGCAAAAAGCTATTGCTGAAGTGGCTACGGTACTAGCCAGGCTAGTTTCACAGGTCATCTCTGCTCCTCACCAGAGCAAAAGGCTATTGCTGAAGTGGCTACAGTACTAGCCAGGCTCAAATTAATCCTCAAATTAAATTCTCACAGCACTTATGTCACTTTTACCTGCCGCTAAGCACCCTTAATTCTGGCTTGGTGCTGATGGGAGCGGAGAGTGCTGAGGCAGCTCCCCAGACCGAGTCCTTGGAGAAGGACACTCAACTCCACATGGAGCTGATTCCCTTATCAGTGCAGATTAAACGCTTGCTACGCACTGTCCTTGCCCCGGGCTGCAGGTGGGCCACTGCAAGCCAGGAAAGGCGTGGGTCCTGCCCTTCCTCACGGGGCTGTGTTGCTGTCTTTGCAGATGACAGAGGGCCGGCACTGCCAGGTGCACCTCCTCGATGACAGGAACTTGGAGCTGCTGGTTCAGGTAAAGACATTGCTTTTTTGGGGGGGGTACCGGTAGCACAGTGCCAGATTTCTCCACTTATTTTCTTTAGCAGGGTGATCGGGGGCTGATGCCTAAGTGATGTTTGAGGAAAAGTTTTATCTCTTACTAGAGCAACTCGTAGAAGAATTGGGCATGTGTTCAGGGATGCACATCCCTGAATTAGCGGGAGGCTTTCCTTTGGATGTTGGTGCACAGTGGGCAAAATATCTGCCATCAGTTCTGCATTCAGCTTTTCAGCTGCTTTTGCCAAAATTCATAAGGTATATTAAACGCACCCCTCGTGGTGGTGTGTTTTTGTAACTTAGAAGGGAAGAAAAGTCTGTATTTTGGGGATGTTTTTTTCCCATAACAGGACCCAAAGCACGAGATCTTCCAGTACACACTATTTTCTTAACTGAAAAATCCCTCCTGCTGTAAATGCAGGAAAGCCTGAGCTTCCACATTTCTCCAGGAGGAGAAAAGCAGCGGTCGGTCCATGCACTTCAGCTTGATGTAGTGGGTGAAGTACATAATTACCTCTCAGTGCTCCGCGGGTCCTGCAGCTGCACAGAGACATCTTATCTGACTGCCCCGAGTCTCATGGAGCCACTTCTGTATTGAGTTGTACAACGAGGCTTTAACTGGGCTGTGTGTACTTAAATATTGGTATTTGCAGAGAAACTTTTTATTATATATGAAAAGCCTGGACTGAAATGCATTACTTTATTTTTATTCTTTCAATAGCCCAAACTTTTGTCTCGGGAGTTACTGGATCTGGTGGCCTCCCACTTCAACCTGAAAGAAAAGGAGTATTTTGGGATAACATTTATAGATGATACGTAAGTATGTTCATTTATTTTGAACAGCTGTGTGATTATTGCAATGCAAAACCTTATACCTGACACGGTGGCAGCCCAGTGTGATGGAAAAATGACTTTCTTTTGAAGAAAGATTTTCCTACCTTGTGCTTGTGCTGCTTGGCTGACGAAAGGGGAAGGCACAAAACAGAAAATATTTGGAAAATAACTTCTGGGCACAAACCAGAGAATACTTGTAAAATACCTTCCTGACACTTTCACTTTTCATGTTTGTCTCACAAGGTGGAAAAAATTGATGCAGCAATAATTTCCCACGTGAACACCTTCAGCTTTTCCAACTCTGCGCTTTTGGTAACAACAAGAAGGTTTTGCATTTATTTTCAAAATGAATTGCTTCTATTGCTTTGCACTTTAATCTCAAATGTGTTATTGAGTCTTTTAAACCCAAACTTCCCTAAGAGCAATGAAATATGAAGTTAGTCCTTCTCGTAAACAGCTTTCCTCTAGCTTCCCTATTGCTTTTAGATATTCAAGCTGTTCTGCAGACTACCAGGGAGAGCTGCAAAAGCAGCAAACGCTCAAAATGCACAACCCTCCCTTCCCAGCAGCTGGATTAATGCGAGTGTGTGGCAGTGTTGGGTGCAGTGTGTCACTGCTGATGCCTGTCCCCTGTCACGGGGCCGGGTGAGATGCCGTGGCCAGGCTCCGCAGTGCCGTGGCAAATCTGCTTCTGTGGCATTAACCTGGAGTTGGGGAGGTGAACTGAAATCTCAGCTGGTGTTCAGACTCATCAGTCAGCACTGTGCTGAAATGCTTCCCCACATCAGCTGGGTGCAGGACCAGCATCTCCAGAGGAGTCACCTTCAGCTCCCCAAAGAGCTGGAGCAGAGCTGCTTAGGGCCGTGAGGAAGTGGAGTTTGCATTAATACAACCCCTAAATAAACCTCTTCTTGTCTGATGGGAATATTATTAGTCCCTGCTGCTCTCTGTTGCCGCTTTTTACGGTGTCCTGGATGGAAGCCTTTGCCTACAGATCACATTGGAACTGTGTCTGGGGCCCCGGCCAAGGCAGTTCCCATCTGCAGGTGCAGGGCTGGCCCCAGGGAAAGGGCTGGTGTTTATGGAGCTGATAGGAGCGGCTTGCTCCAGGGCCCTGACCGCAGCAGTGTGTTATTTTCACCAGTCACTCTCATCTTGAGCTCTCCCTAGAATATTTTTGCCACATCCTTGTCCTTTCAAGTGCTGGAAAGTACTTTCTTCCAGCTCTCCTGTCAAAATCCCTTGAGGATGCTGTTAGCACTTGGCTTATTTTTTTTTTCCCCCCAGAAGAACTGCCTTGAAATTCTTCTGGAGGTTTTTGGTTACTGGCACTCCCTCAAGGTGAGCTTTAAAGTGCTGCCAGGGGATTACCTGAAAGCTGTTGGCATCTCCAGAAACACCAGTGGGGATCCAGGGACTGCCTTGGGTGCACAGGGCAGGGCTGGGGTTGCTGGCGCTCCCTCAAGGTGAGCTTTAAAGTGCTGCCAGGGGATTCCCTGAAAGCTGTTGGCATCCCCAGAAACACCAGTGGGGATCCAGGGACTGCCTTGGGTGCACAGGGCAGGGCTGGGTGCTCGGAGTGAGCCCGTGGCCTCTGGAGGGCACCCATGCCCCAGCCTTTCAGGGCAGCCACAGGTTCTCGCCAGGCCCCAAAGTCGTCAGAGAAGTTATTGGGGTTTGAGGGATATTGGTTTTCTTTCTTGCTTCCTTCCCATTTCAACCAGAGAAGCCACTGCAGAGAGAACTGTGTTTTATACACCTACCTCATTCAATCAGGAGGTTCAGGCTGGATATTAGGAAAAAATTCCCCCAGAAGAGCTGCCTTGAAATTCTTCTGGAGGTTTTTGGTTGCTGGCGCTCCCTCAAGGTGAGCTTTAAAGTGCTGCCAGGGGATTCCCTGAAAGCTGTTGGCATCCCCAGAAACACCAGTGGGGATCCAGGGACTGCCTTGGGTGCACAGGGCAGGGCTGGGTGCTCGGAGTGAGCCCGTGGCCTCTGGAGGGCACCCATGCCCCAGCCTTTCAGGGCAGCCACAGGTTCTCGCCAGGCCCCAAAGTCGTCAGAGAAGTTATTGGGGTTTGAGGGATATTGGTTTTCTTTCTTGCTTCCTTCCCATTTCAACCAGAGAAGCCACTGCAGAGAGAACTGTGTTTTATACACCTACCTCATTCAATCAGGAGGTTCAGGCTGGATATTAGGAAAAAGTTTTGCACTGAGAGGGTCATCAGACATTGGAATGGGCTGCCCAGGGAGGTGGTTGAGGCACCATCCCTGGAGGTGTTCAAAAGACGGGTTGATGTAGTGCTGGGAGGTCTGGTTAGTGATGGTGATGCTTCTTGTTTGTTGTGCGGGTGTCTATTTTTGTCAGGTTGATGGTTGGACAAGATGATCTTTAAGGTCCCTTAGAACCTAGAAGATTCCGTGATTCTGTGGCAAATCCCTCTGCTCTGAAATGGGGGTTTGTCTTGCTGGGACTGGGGATGGTGCAGAACAGGAGTGGGGGACACAGCTGCAGAGCTGTGCTGTCCCCACACAGCAGAAGAGATCAGAGCCATTTCTGCTGCAAACAAACATCCAGCCTTTGCTGCCCATCAGATCCCCCCGCTAGCCATGAGAAGTCAATGAAAGCATCCCCATCTATAGCAAAGGAGGGTATTTCAATAATATTTAGGTTTTTCTGCATGCTGTGCTATGACTTCAGTGCTGTATCTGGAAATAGGACTGCAAAGAGCGTTATCTAATGTCCAAAAGTGAATTCCATTCTCAAATTTAGGAAAAAAGGAAATAATTAGACAAGATGGTTGTCTGCCTCAAAGGTGAATCTTGTACTTTTTAAAGTAACAGTTGGAGTAAACACAAACAATGAAAACAGCCCGTTTCTGTATTTCCTGTCCCAGTTTTTAACCACCTCCCCAACCTGTTTCCGCAGAGGTCAGAGTGTCTGGCTGCAGCTGGATCACCGAGTCCTGGACCATGACTTGCCCAAGAAACCGGGCCCGGCAACTTTGTACTTTGCCGTTAGGTGAGTAATTGTTTCCACAAAGAAAACATTACCATTTGGGTTTATTTATCACCGGGGGTTTTTGTTTAAAAGACCTGATTACGGATTTGATAAAGGAAATAAATGTCAAAGCAATATATTATTTTTAGAAGGAGATTGGATCCTGGATAAGTGCTGCTCTCTTTTGTATGTAACTATGGAAAAAAAAAAAAGGTAGTTTGGAACCTGCTACTTCTCAAACTGTTACTGGGACATTGTTCCCAATTTGTGGTTTGGGTTTTTTTTGTTTAAAACCCCATATTTTAAAGATAATCTTTGCCTGCCTTGTCTTTAATAGTGCTAAATTTTAATACAGTTTGTTTAAACAGTTGTACTTACTTTTTCTTCTTCTTATGTTTACTTAAGGGTTGTCTGTACTTGAAAGGGATTGCCTGTGGCTTCTTTGCTCATGCAGCTTCAGCCAGTCCCCAGGAGAGAATAAAATCCCTGGCAAAGTGATGATTTTGGCCAATGTAATTGCATTACTTTAGGGCTTTTGCTGGCAAAGCTCTGCTGGTTAAGGGCCTGAAAAAACCCATGTCCTGCGAGACAGAGCTGTGCTGGCAGAAAAGACCAAGCATCATATTCTCAGTGTTGTTGGAGTTTTTGTTTTCTTTACAGTCTATTAGGAGAATGAGAGCAGACTGACCTCATTCGCTTTTCATATCTCAGTAAATTTATGCCTTGTGTGCTTAATTATTTGAAGCACTTCCAAGGCAGAGCCTTTGGTGTAGTTGGGTCGGTTGGCACTGTTGTCTTGCCATGTCCTCCCCACCCTGGTCATTGAGGGAACGACTCAAACAAGCGGCACTTTGTTTTTGCTGAACATGTATTTATCTGTGGTGGAGTTCAGACCTTCTTTTCCCTTCCCCGCTTTTAAAAGAAAGGAAAAAAAATAAATTTTAAAAGGGGTGGTAGAATCATAGAATGGTTTGGGTTGGAAGGGACCTTAAAGATCATTGAGTTCCAACCCCCCCTGCCATGGGCAGCGACACCACCCACCAGACCAGGTTGCTCAAAGCCCCATCCAGCCTGGCCTTGAACCCCTCCAGGGATGGGGCATCTACAGCTTCTCTGGGCAACCTCTTCCAGTGTGGGCTCTTCAATATATTCACTGTGTTTGAGGATCTGGGAGGCTAAAATCTATGACTGTCCAAGAAAGCTGTGATGGTGATCTTATGACTTGAGCATTTCTTTGGCTGGGATTACTGCTGTTGGCTCATGATGTTCATTTTGGCCCTCTCTGTTGCAAGATGGTCCTCTACAGGACAGGGTGTTCAGAGACCTGGGCAAGAGCTCATGGGTGAGGAGTGAGCTTGAAGAGATCAACCTCTAGAAGCTATTTTTAAGCCTGACTACTCTGGGGCTGTGAGGTCCAAACCAAGCAATTAGAACCCAAGGAGGTGGGCAGTAAGTGAGAAGCACTGCAGGAGGAGGGAGGGTACAGAAATAATGAGCAATATAAAAATTGTCTGATCTGTAGAAAATAGATATTCCAGCAGAAAAGGCACTTCAAAACCTTCAGTGGTCTACTTTGTCACAAAGTTTTGGATAAGTGACTCGAGGCCTTTGCTTGCTATGGCCTGTGCCTTGAGTGGTTAGTTCAGACACTTATCTCAAGTGAGCACATTTGCTTTGTCATAGCCTATTCCTTAAATAAAATCCCATGAGAGCAGCCAAAATACACAGTTGTAGCTGTGTGAGCCTGTGGCTTGAAAGGAAAAGCTTAACAAGTGGGATGGAGGGGCTGGGCAAGTATAAGGAGGCAGGACATCAAGCTGCTCCTCTCATAACAAGAGGCAAATGTGCAGCAGCATCAGTTTTCAGTCTCTTTCAGCACTGCACCAGAGAGTTTCCAGTAGCAATACTGGAAATGGGGGGGCATCACCAGATACCTGGTTATGACCTTCCATTTGTTCACAACTCCCCAGCCCTGAGGTCTTCTTGTTCGGTAATGAAACACACAATAAATGCTTTCAGGTTTTAATTATTTTTCTTCAGCTGGCATAAATAAAAATCCAGACAGGCAAGTATGGTACATGTAGCTGGTTTAGGATTTATAGACTTAGAACATGCAGGTTTAGGACCTATAAAAATGTCATTCTAGTTCTCAAGGATGCTGACAGCATCGGAAATAAAAGCAGAACATGTACTTTATGGTGTTCACAAACATGCCTGTCATCCCCTGAACATCCTTATCTCTGTGGTCCAGTGTTCCTCATCTGTACAGTGGTGATAAAAATGTACAGCTTGTACCAGGGAAGAAGCAGAGAGCACACAGACCTGCCTGGGGTGGGGGCAACACCTCCCCAGTGCCCTCTCCCTAAATCCAGACTGTACCAGCAGTGACTGGGAGCTACTTCTCTTCAGAGCCAGGGGTACTATCCTGCTTGTGAGGATAAGTCACCCACGTCTGACTCTTAGTTAAAGAAATTACAAGTGCAAATTATGTCACTGGTTGAGGAAAACCACCTTTTTTGGTGCAGCAGAGGGAGGAAGGATTTAGGAGGCTGAGGAAGGTCCATGCTGTGAAGGGCTGGTCTGGCAGCAGGTTGGGAAACAACAAAGAGTAAGGCTTCTGCCCCCTGATTTCTGGAGAGACACAGTGGCAGCAGGTTGGGAAAGGACAGCTTCTGCCCCCTGATTTCTGGAGAGACACACTCCAAGTGTACTTAAAGTGAAGTTTAGCAAAGCTGTTGAAAAAAATTATATCGGGTGTGATCAAGAGAGGGTGGAAATACCTGTGGTTCCTACAGCCCTCGGTGAAAGGTGAATCACAAATATAAAATAGCCTTTCAAATGTCTGGGGCAGGCTGCTGGGCTTGGGTCTGCCCCTTGGACAGGCTGCATGTCTGTAACGTGGGTAAATTATCTCCTTATCCTGCAGAGGCGTTCTGGGGAGTGCTTTAAAATTAATTTGATGGAACATGCTGTAGGAATGCGAAATATTAAAACAATTACTGTTTAATGTATTGCTTGTCTCAAGTCACAACCTAAATACCACGTACGTTCCTAACGCGTGTGGCATGTGCTGGCTTTACTACTTCCTACCACATGCTCCAAGCTGCTGCTGGGGACTTCTTCCAGTGTCTTGCAAATCATCTTCACCAAGAGAGCAGTGGCTGGAGCTTGAGGGTGTGAGGAGCCTTAGAAGCATCACGGGGCTGTGGGAGGGATTGGCCTGGTTCTGATAAATGACTTCCTACCACATGCTCCAAGCTGCTGCTGGGGACTTCTTCCAGTGTCTTGCAAATCATCTTCACCAAGAGAGCAGTGGCTGGAGCTTGAGGGTGTGAGGAGCCTTAGAAGCATCACGGGGCTGTGGGAGGGATTGGCCTGGTTCTGATAAATGTAGTGGGCTGCATGCCCTGTGTTGGCCATCCAACCCTCCTGCTATCATAAGCAAGACATTGAGAAGCCCTGGTGCAACCTGCACTGCTGTGGTGGTGGTGGCCCAAGTCTTTGCTTGGCTGGGAAAAATCCTGTACCTGCTGTCTAGCATGGGGTGGGAGAGTCTGGACCCAATGCATTCATCCTCCGTAAGGAGCTGGAACACAGGTATCCTGGTTTTTCAGACTCAGCTAAAGGAGGATTGACAGGACCACACTCACACAAATTTCTCTCTTTAAAGTGACTTGGCAGTTCCACAAGTCTTTGCTTGGCTGGGAAAAATCCTGTACCTGCTGTCTAGCATGGGGTGGGAGAGTCTGGACCCAATGCATTCATCCTCCGTAAGGAGCTGGAACACAGGTATCCTGGTTTTTCAGACTCAGCTAAAGGAGGATTGACAGGACCACGTTCACACAAATTTGTCTCTCTTTAAAGTGACTTGGCAGTTCCACACTCCTCAAATTATAGATGTGTTTTCTCCGCTCCATTTAATGCATCTCAGCACTGTTTGATTTGATGCCCCGAGTGAGTCGGAGAAGCGCGCAGACGGGTTGTGTGCGATTTTGCAGAGTGCCAGGGGCATACATGATGTTTGGTGTAGCTCTGTAACAAACTGGGACCCATCTGCTAACCTTGGTTGGGCCAGAGTAACCAGTAATGGGATTGCTTTTGTTGGTAGTGGGGAGAGGAGGCCGGGGAGGAAGGCAGCGAGCACTGCAAGACTTGTGGCAGTTTGTAGCCCTTCCATGTAAACCCCTGGTTTTAGGGCTCCCGTCATCATGAGGATGATCATCAACACTGGGCCGGCTTCCCAACCCGCAACACAGTTTTTGGAGTCACCTTTTCCACTTCTGTATTTATATCTGTGTAGGAGGGATGGGCTTTGCTGCTTTAACGTTTGACAGGGTTTTCAAATGAGATGAGAAGTCATCAGATATCTACAATCTAGTGAAAGAGGAGTTTGTCGTTCCCTGTGTGCTGTTGGCCTGTGATTTTCCGCTTGTTCCCTCCTAAGAGGCAGGAAATTAAGTGCAGTAGCTCATAGTTCCTCTGTGCTATTTTATTACTAGAGAACAAAACATTGAGGAAATAAAGTGATTTGGGAGGAAGATGAAACCTATTCAAGAAAGTAACTGTTTGGTGGTTTGTTTTTTTTTAATTTTCAGGTTCTACATTGAAAGCATTTCCTTTCTCAAGGACAAAACTACAGTCGAGCTGTTCTTTCTGAATGCCAAGTCCTGTGTGCACCAGGTAAGCCCCAGTGTTTCTTACTGTGCCTCTCCCATTTATTGCTCCTCTGTCACCTATGTGATCCTGCAAACTCACTAGGACCTGTGCCTAATTTCTAGATCTTACTGAAGTATTAAAAAATCAGCATGCTTTCTCTCCTCCTTCATTTAAATGCTGATGCTCTAAGCAAATGGATGAGGATGATGGTTTCCTTGTCCTGTTTTCACAGCCCTGCTGTGTGTTCATTGCACTAGAATAAGCCTTAAGTACTCAAAAGCTTTTAAGTTGTTTGAAATCTGGGTTGTAACTTCACAGGTAGACTCTGTCTCAGTGGCATATCCTTCTGTACACTGCATAATAAACACTCAAGGCAAAAGCATCTCTTCACTCAAGTCAAACTTGTTTAAAGAACAAAAGCCCTGTGAGGAAGGTCCTACGGTGCAAACTTGGTTCCTAGTTCCTTGATTTCCTGCCTTAATTCAGTGTAGTAGTAAAGTAATAAACCCTATAAAGTAGTAATCAAAGCTAGTTATAGAAATACTTTTTATATTTATTCTCTGTTTAAGAAGCTTCCACTGTTTTGTTGAAATGTTTGAATTGGTAGAATGTATCTTTAAAAGTTAATTCATGATAAAGTAAAATTAAAATAAGGTTGATCTTGTAGATTCATCTTAGTCTGAAAAAAGGGCAATGTGGCATCCACCTTCGGCATGGCCCTCATAACCAGTGGTGCAATAGCAGCTGCCATTCAATGAACTTTACCTTAGCAATGCCTGATGTTTCTGGGATTTTCTAGTTAATGTCAAACTCGGGCATCTGGCTTTTTTTTTTTTTTACTTGAGGTTCAAACAGTCTAAAAGGGTCACTTGGTTCTTACAATCTCTTCTTGGAAAACAGTCCTGTATCATTAGCTGATGGTGGAGCTCAATGTAGCCGGCCAAAGTTTTCATTTTTAATATGCTTCATATTTTAGAGGATTCTTATTCAATATCCAGTATTTGTTATTTTATGGTGGGATCAGAAACCTGATGTGAAAGTGGTTAATGGCAAAGTTGTGACTGCTTTGTACAGGAATTGCTTTCTAGGAGAGCGGAGGAAATTGGGGCCTTTTTACAGCATGCTAAAATTTTAAAGATGTTTGAAGAACTTGGGGCCTCACTGGTAAAGATTAATAAAAAGCAAATCTGCATTTGGCATATCTGCCATTTGAAATGAAGGGTCCTGGCAACCTGTCATCCTTTCAGGGAAAAAATGGAGCACTTCAAACAAAGCGCAAATAACTCTGGAATTGGAAAATGGGTTTGGTTTTCAATGGAATGTGAAAAATGGCACTGCTATTGAAAGAAAGGCTGTCAACACCAAAATATTTGGTGCAAATGTATATATTTATGTATGTGCATAAAGTATAAGGGAAAGCAAAGGAAGAGAGAAGCATAAAAAAACCTTCTCTCACCGATCCTAGACACATGTCATCAAACCAATAAGGAGTCACTTCTGGCCTGGATAAATATTATTATTCAAGCAGCATAACTTTGTATTACTGAAATGAAGTGCTGATAGCACGAGAAGCGCTGATGATGCAGGGAGTGCTGCAGTGAGCAGGCTGCATTGAGCTCACAGCTTTGAGAGCTGGGAGAGGTTTGAGTGAGGGCTGCTTTGTATTTTCCCCCCACCGTGGCGTTGCAAGGTGCGTGGTCTAATTGACAGCAACCCAAAGTGCCGGCTTCCCTGTTCCTGCCAGCAAAATTGCCAGAAGCAGAGAGGGTTTTCTGTCACGTCCAGTTTCTGTGGGCAGTGGAGGGATGGGACCATCACTTCCTCCTGAGAGCAGGATCTCTGCGGGCAGCGCCGAGTGACCCAACACGTAAGGAAAGCCCAGAGCCCTCTCTGCCTGCGGCACTTTCTGTGCTGGGTGGCTTCAAGCCTGGCTTCAGCACAAGCCAGGTTATTTACTTTCAAGGTGACTTTGGTCCAGTGGCTTTTAACCTTCAAATTAAGTCTTTTAAAAAATACTTTATCCTACTTGGTAAACTTATGGTCAGTCTCTAGGCTTCAAGTGGTGCGTGAAGTGAATATGAGTGGATCCCCAGCTCTGGTGAAGCTGATGCTCACTGATGACAGCGAGGAATGTTCCCTGGCATTTCTCAGTTATTAATCCAGCCCCAGGAGGTTAGACCTTCCTCAGTTTAGCTTTTTTTTTCTTCTTCTTTCCTGGCTGCATTCAAGGAGTGAGGAAACCCCAGTGCCTCAAAAAGCAGCAACCTGCCCCCAGCCCACGTGTTCGGGGGTGCTCCTCAATGGTGGTGCTCAATGCATGGGGTGTGCTGGAGGATGCCCTACCATGGGGCCGTATCCTAACCTGGATCTTTGCATGAAGCTTCTGCTCTGTGTGGGCTGGGAATGTGGCTCAGAGGATAAATGCTGCAATACCTGGGGTGTGAGAAGACCTGCCTGGATAAGATTGCTTAAAAGCCAGTTGTGTTTTTTGTTTTTACAAAGCTGTTTCCAGAATTTTCACGGTAGCTCATTCCCCATAAGCAACATGGTGCGTGAAAAGCCGAAATTCAGGGTGGTGCAGAGACTTGATGCTTGAAGGAGTTTGTGTTTGTGCTCTTCTGACATTCCTGAGCGCTGGCATGTGTTGACAGCTCAGCAGTGTGTACGTACCTGTGCTTTAAAGGAAAATGATGCTTTCCTGAGCAGAGGATGAAGAGGTGACATTGCCCTGCATGTGAGATGCTGCATATTGGTGCTCCTGCTGGTGTGTAGGATGCACCACAAGAGCAAGACAAAGGCTTGGGCAAACACAGCCTGTGTGTTGGCAAAGCTTTGTGCCAGTCCTCCTTCTGGAGGGAATTTAGCCGTGGCTTACCAGGTTGAGAGGCTGCCTCATAAATGTATTTACAGTATTATTTGAGACATTTGCAGACAGTCCTGTGTGTGAAATCCTGTAAGTGGCTGTATCCAATCAAAAAGAATGGTATCTCCCTAGTGAGGTCCAGCATCTCTGGGTTTAGGGTGGAGCTGCTGGGAAGAATGTGTTGGCCATTTTGCCCCAGATGACTCCAGAGAGGTTTTGCTCCCAGCTGAATAAAAATTCAGAATAAATAATATAGCATATTAAATATATCAATAATTAATTCTATAATATATCACTGGCTTCTGAATAATATAATGGAATAAAAACCTGCCTAAAAGCTCTGAAAACAGACAAAGCTGGCTTGTGCTCTGTAGTGCATAGCCACCCTCTGCTCTTCCTCACCTTTCAACTCCACACTTCCTTCCTGCAAATCTCTCTGCTCCTTTCTGCAAATTGGGTACCACTTTCTGCTGCCAAGGGTTTGAGGAATCTGGGGCTTGTGCATTTTGCAACGTCTGTAGACATTTTGGCAAGGAAGGAGTGAACAGACAATGAAATCTCTGCTGCCAAAAATGTATTTCTTTCTGCTCCCCACCCACTCTCCCACCTCTGCGCTCTTCAGTACAGTCAAAGCTCTTTTGTGACTGTGGGACCTTTGCTGCCGCTCACCAGCTTTGTTCATCCTCTACAACCTGTGGTGGTCTTAGTGCAGTCTCCCCCTCTGCCTTGCCCTCATCCCCTGTGAGCAGCTGGGGATCCAGAGGAGTCACCTTTGCCCAAAGCACAGGAGAGCTGAAACCTTATTTTTACTTTCATAACTCATAGAGTGGTTTGAGTTGGAAGGGGCCTTAAAGATCATCTTGTGTCCCTCTAGACCAGGTTGCTCCAAGCCCCATCCAGCCTGGCCTCCAACCCCTCCAGGGATGGGGCATCAACAGCTTATCTGGGCAACCTGTTCCAGTGTCTCACCATCCTCAGAGTGAAAAATTTTTTCCTAATATCTAATCTAAATCTTCCCTCTTCCAGTTTAAAACCATTACCCCACATCCTATTGCTACACTCCCACATAAGAGTCCCCACCTCTCCTGCAGTGTCTGTGACTGCTCCTTTCCACCGCACCCCATCTTAACCCACCACCGCATCAGCACCAGCATCTTTCTTCTGCACAGTGTACCATAATGCTGCTTTACACACCTGGAGAATAGACCTCCTCTGTTGGATGTGCCAACATGACCCGTTCAGTATTTTCTGGCCTTGCCCTCCCCATGTCTCCGTGCATGTGAACTGAACGCAACATTTGCTGTTACGCTTGTAAGAGCGCCCGGTGTTTCCTTGCCACTGGTGCGTGCACAAACCTTGGCCTCCAGCCGACACCACAAATGCTGCCAGTGCTCTCACCCTACCTTCCCTTCATGTTGAGCTGCCAATTTTTTCCCCCTGGTCTGATGCCCCCATCCCTGGATGTGTTCCAACAGCTTCTCTGGGCAACCTGTTCCAGTGTCTCACCATCCTCACAGTAAAGAATTTTTTCCTAATATCTAATCTAAATCTTCCCTCTTCCAGTTTAAAACCATTACCCCACATCCTATTGCTACACTCCCACATAAGAGTCCCCACCTCTCCTGCAGTGTCTGTGAGCATAGAGTCCCCACCTCTCCTGCAGTGTCTGTGACTGCTCCTTTCCGCCGCACCCCATCTTAACCCACCACCGCGTCAGCACCAGCATCTTTCTTCTGCACAGTGTACCATAATGCTGCTTTACACACCTGGAGAACAGACCTCCTCTGTTGGATGTGCCAACATGACCCGTTCAGTATTTTCTGGCCTTGCCCTCCCCATGTCTCCGTGCATGTGAACTGAACGCAACATTTGCTGTTACGCTCGTAAGAGCGCCCGGTGTTTCCTTGCCACTGGTGCGTGCACAAACCTTGGCCTCCAGCCGATACCACAAATGCTGCCAGTGCTCTCACCCTACCTTCCCTTCATGTTGAGCTGCCAATTTTTTCCCCCTGGTCTGATGCTGCAGTCCCCAAGCCTTCTCAGTCCCGTGTGGTCCAGGCAGCTGCCTGGCTCCTGTTCTCCAGCATCCATGCTCTTTGGGCTGGAGCTTGGAAAAGCCACATGCACTGCCAGGAACAGCTTGGGCCACTAAGCCAGAGGT